AGTGAGCATAGATAATAGAGTAAATGAAAGGGATTGGAAACGGAAGCGTGAGCGTAGCCCAACCTCCATTCATTTGTATTGCTGCTAGGCTGACAGAGGCTCGTTGAAATTTTTTGTCACAATTTACCCTTGATTTTCTTTCTTTTAGGAGCAATATCTCGCAAAAAAGTGTTCCTATGCAAGTGAAATTAATGCATCAAGAAGCCTAATGTTTCCTCTTTATAATTCTGTTTTCTATTGTACAGATAATTTTACCATGTTAATGTTATGGCACTTTTAAAACCATAAAATGTATTTTTGTCATTATAATCCCTTTTTTGAAAACAAGCTAGAGTAAAATGCAATATCTTTATAATCATATGAAAGAGTTTTCATTTGCATATCGAATGATACTAGTTAGGGTTAGAATCCATGAAGCATGAGTTTGTTATAACAGAAAAAAGGGCGAAAAGTGAAAAAATTTTGTTGTACCTATAACTCGTTGCAAAATAGCGTTGTAGAAGTAAAAACCTTGCTGCAGGTAGTCCAACACTTTCTATATCGAACGGTAGGTATATCATAAGTAAGCGTCCTCTTAGATCTCCATAAATATCTTTCGAAGTTCTTGCAGTACAGCCTCACTAATGGAGGAGATGGGAATCAACCAGGTTTTGGGCCGGTAACCAATAGCAACATCAACCAGCCTACGCCCCCGTTTCCAATCCCTTTCATTTACTCTAATATCTTATATCTATGTAGTGAGATTTTGTCTATGGGCTAACCTCTTCGCCTCTAGGTTCTATTTCATCATAGATGATTTCATTACGCAGAATGCAACTGAGGAAGGCTGCCTTACTTTTATTTGTTGTGTTTGTGTGCATTATCGTGTGGTACTTGCGCTTTAGGAATGTGGATAATGAGGTATGTGTTAGTCTCGCCCCGCCCCTTAATAGTGTGTCTATTCTTAGGAACTAGAAAATAATAGAAAAAGTTCTCAGAATGTACGGAAAAAGTCAAAGGCATACCCTTTAAATGTTATAATTAATGTATTTAATTTATTTATCTTTAATCATGTCATAAATAGAGCTTTACCATGTCACCTGGAAATTCAATTTTAAAAACTCCTCAACCAAACAACCGCCCACAAAATCATGTCTCTAATGTAAGGACATCCTCTTATTGTGTAAATATATTCATTATTAGTTCTGTAGAGGAAACAAATATATCATAAATTGTTCCATCCAGCAAATGCATCTGATCTCTGGGTTACACTTGACAATAAAAGATTAGCAGTAAGTCAAAATTAATGGCACACAAGTATACTCTCGTGTTCATAAAAATATGCTACTTCTGCCAAATTTTGCAACTCTAAGAATTTGTAAAAAAATTCAATTTTAATTGGAATCAGCTCAAACTTTTTACGCAACATAAAACATGTATATATATCAGAAAAAATTATTATAAAAATAAAGAATTTTTCCTATAGTCATTTTTGACAAAATACCCTGTACTACAGATACAGCCCATAGTTTTTGGTGTGATTTGTCAAAACTACAACCACTTAACTAAAACAACAGTGCCATTAGATGTGATACAGTGTATGCTTGCTGTCTTCGCACCAGTACATACATGTATGTGTATGCAGCGGAACTTCCTGTAGTAATGTATTTCTTTTCTTCTATGTTACATGTAGGTTAGAAGGCTTGCTTATTATGATGCCCGTGATCCAGATAAGCCATCTCTTATCTTAAATGCATTGTATGACTTGCGTCATCCTCAAAAACCAAGCGTCTTTGTTCATTTGAGATACTCCGATAAAGTCTCACA